AGCGTTAGCGAAATCGGATAGCACGTGGCGTTAGCGAAATTGGATAGCACCCGATGCAAGCTTCGTCCCCAGATACCATCTGTTCATCATTCATCTCATTGCGTGAGACATTAATTTGCTTATCAGATGGCCGCGAAGCTATAGCCTTTTGATGACAGATACTTGCGATAACAGAGTAAATGTTATTCATCGGTAAAAGTATCAGTGTACGTGATATCGGGTTGTCCGTACGTATTAAACAAGTTAAATGGGATTCGCCGATTCTAACTGACAGCTAACCTTACTCGAGAATAGAAATTCTTCTCGGCCGTCTTAGATTTCTTAAAAAAAACCGTAAATAATGAAGAGGGCATAAAATAATCTAACCGATCAAAGTCCACCGACAAAAACTGTGACTTTTTAAAAAATATTAAGCTTAAAGGACTTGTAAAAAGATTTCAATAATAAAAAGATTAAACGCCTCGCTTTTAAGTGATCAAAGCCTAAGGCTTTATTACTTTTCTTTCTTTATCTTCTTTTATAATCCATAGCTTTCCTGATTTCTTTTTTCTTAATGAGATTTCTTGAAAAATTGAATAATCTGAGCGACTTGTTACACATAAACTTGATATTGGCTATTCTTGGTGAAATATCTATTTTTCTAACTTTTTTTTCTTATTTCTTCTTTTTCTTAGTATAAGTTTTAAAGAAATGTGCAGCTGTGGCGGCGGAATGACTATACTCCAACGAGCTCGAAATACACTTTGGTTTTTCGTCGGGGAGTTTACTTTCTATAAAAACAAAAAGCGAGAACTATCCGTATAAATATCATTGCTTTATTAGTTTTATTGTAAATACGACAAATAAAATGTAAAAGATAGGGATCATAGAATATTAGTTCAAATTTTGAAGTGCTTGCGTAAGTCGTATTTTCTCGAAGAGTCAAGCAGTCTCCTCCATCGAGTTCCCCTGGAGTGTTTGATGGTTTCACAAGATAAATTCAAATGACAGATCACTTATGATTGAAAGTCTTCTGTAGACTTGCAAATTGACGTCTAATGAATGAAATATAGGGCTGTTAAATACTTCAAGGGGGATTACATCTACACTTAAGTCATAGATAAGGCTATATTACAGCCTCATCTAAAAGCCGTGTGGGATGGGCTCGGAAATCGTATAAGAACATGCGTAATAGGTAAATTACGAGCCTCATATGAAACGACTGAAGATGAGTGCCAATGTAATATTTTTTCGTGGGATTCTACCAGCTCACTAGATACACTGTGCTGACGAGGCCCAATACAGCCCGAAACATCTGTCCACGGTTTCTAGTTGAGCTGGCTCATTTTTTACGCGACTTGAAGTTGTGAAAGGCTTGTATGACACTCTTCTTTACCTATAACGCATCTTCTTACACTTAAATCAGTCAAAATACCTTGTGAATGATGTTGGAATCTGGATTAGGAATCATAGTTGGTTTGGGATCATGATTTTTGATATTCATTTTACAAGATTGTAATCAAAGCGATAAACGGATAAGACCATTTCACTTTGTGTATGAGGTCATATAAAAGATCTCTCTCAGCAGATTAAATTTTGTGATTCTAAAAATCCTTCGGGAAATTATAACTAGATGGTAGGACATAATACTGTCTGGTTATTTTAAGGCTTTTCTATTCATTCCTTACTCTTCATATAAAATCTTTTTTATGACCCTTTTTTAGTGACATTAGTTTTCCAAAGTATGTTCGTGTGCCTATCAAGTGACTTTTTTTTTAGTTGACCAATCATAAAGCCAGGAAAAAATGACTATCCAATCACAGACAGTGAAGCCATTTATCATTATTATCGCCCGACCAATAATTGCAAGAGAAATATAATTAATGCACATGAATTTGTATATTTGTATATAATGTTAGCATAACAATTATATCTTGTGTTATGATGAAATGGATGAAAAAATTTTTGTTAGTTTTTGCTTCTTTTTTTTTTTCTTTTTGTTTGTTTGTATGTTAGTTGTTTGTTCGTTTGTTTATATTTGTTTTTGTTTGGGTGTGTGTATGTATCAGGTATTTGTTCGTATGTTTCTTTAATTGTTTTTGTTAGTTTGTTTCTTTTATTTGTTTTTGGTTTTGTTTGTGTGTCGTTTGTTCCTTTGTTCCTTTTCTTGTTTTTCTTGTGTTTGTTCGTTTATTTCTTTTCTTTTTCATTTGTCTATGTGTCAGTCGTTTGCTCTTCTTTTCTTTTCTTGTTTCTGTTTCTGTTTTTGTGTGTCAGTCAGTTGTTTGTTCGTTTGTTTCTTTTTTGTTGTCCCTGTGTGAATCAGTTGTTTTTTGTTTAATAATACCTATCTACTTGACTAATCACCAAATACATTTAATTCTTGAATGTTCTTCGACTTTATCTTGATGATTTAAGTATATACTTGAGATAATTTGTTTTTGAACTTCTGTTCTCATAATCAAACGATCTCGGGGGGAGGGGGGGGGGGTAGTGCCGTGTTACAAAGATCTTAATTCTGGGCATTCCACTTGAAAACCATTTTTCATCGATAATTGTAAAACGATTCAAGCATTGAATCACAACAAGATGTAATTTGATTATCAGATATTTGATAAGATTGTTAAATTGTGGCTCGTAGATTGGGTGGTTTACAGGTTCCTTTTTTATCATTTCTTTCTTTCGTTTTCCTTTTTTCTTTCCTTTTTCATTCATTCATTCGTGTTTTTTTTCTTCAGTTTTCTTCTATCTCATCTTTTTTTCTTCATTGCTTCCCGCCTTCCTTGCTTTCTTCCTTCCTTTCCGAATCGCTCGAGGCATTCAATAAGTCGCTCGAGGCATTCAATGGGTCGTAGTATTGGGTAATTTACAGGTTTCTTTTTTTCATTTCTTTCTTTCGTTTTCCTTTTTTCTTTCCTTTTTCATTCATTCATTCGTTTTTTCTTCAGTTTTCTTCCATCTCATCTTTCTTTCTTCATTGCTTCCCACCTTCCTTGCTTCCTTCCTTCCTTTCCGAATCCCCCGAGGCATTCAATAAGTCCTATGCAATAATAAACAAGTAAATCACCTACATTAACAAAAGGTTCATTCTACTAATGTAAACAGATGATTTAGTACTACATGATCACTAACACGCAATAACAAAAGGATTGAACAGAAAACACTTTATGATCTATGACTTTTATCATTCTTATTTTTTAAGGCTCGTTCGTCAGGTTATGCATTCATTTCTTCATTAGTTTTGACAATTTTTCGCGTCTTTTATAACTTTTCGAATGACAGTACAATGATTTTGCTTCTCATGAGATAAAAAATACAACATTTTAATTCTCAAAAAAATAAAATAAAAATATTAAAAAAGCACAAGTGACACGAATGTGTGAAATTATTTCATTCTTAATATTTTTATCTTTCCTAATTTTTAATATGATTACTTCATTTTTGGTTCTTATGATGATAAAAATGAAAACGAAGAAACTAAAATTTGGAACGAAAGACGTGACAATAATCATTGAATTGAGATGATTGGATTTAAAAAATTGGCTTCTGTATGATTGAATAGACCCTTTCACGGTTTCCGACGCCATATTGCTTGGGGGCCAAGATTCCTAAGAAGCGACGGGGAAAGAGATCGAGTCATTCTTGTCGAGGCAAGATTTGTTTACGGTCAAATTGAACCAGTATGATCGAGTCGCAAAACTCGCAAACCCGAAAGCCTCCGTCTCTCTGAGAACCAGTRTTATGCTGGCTCCATCGGCTCAAAAACAGCACACAAAACATTGAACAGAGGATTCTCCGTCTACAGAAAAAGTTTGGTCTCGAAAATTTACCTCAGAATGGAAATCGAAATATAACGAAAACTGACGTGTCTCTTTCCCCGTCGCTTCTTTGTAAACTTGCCCCCCCAAGCAATATGGCGTCGGAAACCGTGAAAGGGTCTATTAGCAGCGGAAACTAGTTACTCTATGGGCGGATGTCTTGTTTTATTTCTGTTTTTATTTATTAGAACATGTTACCAAGCCGGCGTCTTTGCATTTCCTGAATCGGATAAGAACCAGAAGTCGTAGTAAAGAAAATTAAAAATGAAAGAAAATAAATCCTGATATTGTTAGAAGTGAAGGTGCATTCATTCAAGCAGAGCAGCGCGAATGATTACCTGGGCGCCATACCTCGGTGTAAGAACAAGCCATTAAGCTGTTCCAAGGATTAAAGTGGGTTCCACTTGCCCAAAGTAGGATGCAGCTAAAAGCTAATGATTTTTTAAATAATTAAACGTTTTTTTCCATCGTACTTAAGAGAAATTTTTACAAATCATCTCTGAATTGCAAGAATATGATCTACTGTAAAGCCATATATTCATATATGTATATATGAATATATTTTTTGTATTTTGTTTTTTCCCCCTTCTATTTGTATTGGTGTTTTTGTTTGTATTTGTTTTGTTGTTGTCGTATGAGTATTTGTATTCCTATTTCTATCTGCTTCGTAATATTGTACATTAATCCAATTTTGATGTCAAAAGCGCAAGTATTTGATACGAGCCATATGCCTAATGTGTCATTAATTTACAAAAATATTGCTGCCTCATTCTATACCATCATCCCTGCTTGATGACACGAAAAGCCATCGTATTAGGAAATCTTCCATCCGACACAAGGTTTTCACATGCATCATTAACACGACATCAAACTGCTCGCCATGCACCACACTGCAAAACAAACTATAGATTTCAATTCCAGCGCTTTAAGCAAAGCAAAAAAAAAGCGAATAAAAAAAACACTCATTATTAAGATAGGAAGTTGTTTGGAAGTCTTGCGTGAAATTCAGCACGTAGAGTGTGTCATCGAGAAGGTAAGTTAAATAAAAACTAGAAATGATGTAAAGAGTGAAAGGTGGGAGGGGTACTTATTGAAACAATTACGAAGAGATTTTCTTTCCTTGCGAGACCAGATGTTTTCGTCTTCCGCAAACAGTCTGAAAACAGGAATGGCCAAAAGCTTTGCAAGTATGCACCGAATCGAAATATGGCGACCAATTTGAATAACTATTGTTCTGGACTGACTATAGCCTCGTGTTCGCGTGGAGCGGTGTTTTCACCTGTATGAGAGGCTACTCCATGTTTTGGGGTTAAATATCATTAAAGTCATTTAAGCGCAATATTTTTATTAAGTGATATTGTGTTGCTATTAGAGACTTCATATTCTAACCATTCATATTAGCTAGAGGTTACTTCCTCAATCAGAGCTTTGAAAAACAATATTCAAAGGGGAGAAAAATAAAAATGAATATGCGTTAATAAACACATGAAAACTTAGGTTATTCTATTTAACTCTTATTTTATTGAGTAGATCAAAGACTGAACTGTGAAGACGGAGGTTCCACGTTGGCTTTCAGACGAACAACAAAAAAAGATTTTTCATAGATTATTTTCATGGGATTCAAGGTAAAGTAAAGTAAAATTTCAATAAAAATTCCATTTATGCTTTAAGTCCCGAAACTATAAGAAAAAAACCTTCCTAATATTTGTTTATTCTTTATATGTGCCTTCTTGTTCTCTCTCTTCTCTCCTTTACCTTTTTTCTTGTTTTTAATAACAATCTCATTTTGCGCCTTAAAGACAGCAATGTCTAGGCTATACATAGTATCCGTCTTTAGTCTGTATGTAATGAATACGATAGCAGATAGCATTGACTTCGAACGTATATTCCATTATTAGCGCAGCTAAAACATTTATCCGATCCAGAAAGCACGCATTTTTTGGCCTTTCCTTTTGAAATCACAATTTTGCGATATATCAGTCATTTTTGCCCGAAGCCTGAACTATAGCACGAACAGTAGTCTTGCCTATCTTACATATTCCGCTTTTTCAGAAAGCAGCTTGCATATGTAGAAATGAATATCAGGAAGATGAAAAAGGCGAAGAAAATTTGTCACCTTTAATAGGCTTTACTTCAGCCTTCTTTGGGAAAAGAAAAACAAAATGATTTAGTTAATTAAGGATATGATATTTTTTATGAATAGACCTTTGAAGAATTCGATTGATAGTGAAAACGAAACAATTGTTCGAGGTTAAACCTGATGTGTCCATACATTGATCAAGTTCAACCTCGACTTAGTACCTTTGCGGTCGCTAAAATGAATTTGGGAAAGGTATATTGCTCGTCCAAAATAAGAAAACGCGAAATACTAGTAGTTCGGTCTCCGACTATATGAGTACCTACGGCAAGTAGTCTTTATAAGATTTAATTTTCTTTGAATGTGCATATTATTAAACAAGCTCTGGTAAATTTGAAAGCGTTTTAGCTTCGGCGCAAATAATAAGCTCATTTGTACTCAGAAGGCGCCTAGGTGGATGCAGTTTAACAGACAGCTCCGAGGACAGTTCAATTATAAAGTGATTATTTTTACTTGATTATTTAAGTAATGTGAAAAGCTAGTGAAAAGCGGCTCTTCAAAAAGTTGATCAACAAGAGCTGGAAGTTTGAATACAAGCCTTAAATACCATTAACACGAGCACCGAATAATTTAGACTTACATAGAAGTTTGGCAGCGGCTGTGCATTTTGACTGATTGAACTACAAGTGTGTGTAGCACCAGAAATGCTCCCAAATTTAAAAAAAATACTGATTAAAAGACAAAGGATTGTCTTCAAGGAAACTGCACAAAGAAAGGGATATTTTTTTATGAGTATATGTCTTAGCTTTGTTGATACTATCTCCGGAAGCCAAGGAAATTTGGTTGATTTTAAATATGAATTAAGTTATATTTGTGAAGTGAAGATTGTGGGTACCTTTAAGGGATTCTGTCTAAAGAAGATCAGATGAGATCAGACATCCTTATTTGATAATTGACGGCCTTTACTTCAATCCTAAGGAAAGAAGTACGAAGTTTTTTGTTTTACATTCATTCACTTTCATTATTTTCATTCATTCAATTATTTATTCACTCATTTTTTCATTCGTTCACTTAAAATCAATTCAAAATACAGCCATCAACTTTTATTACAATCATGATGATTGTTAATGTGATTGTCAAAATAGTTTCCAAGTGAAAATTGGTCCTTAAAGATCAGCTCATCGTGGAAAATAGGATAAATAAAAACAAACTTTGATGGTTAAGTAGTTTATTATCTTGAGTACCCAAAGTAAAAGTATTTCCTATACGCATTGCCGATTAGATTGAGCTAGAAAAAGTGCAGCGTCGGAACAGCTTCCATCCCAATTAAACTGTATATAGTTGTAAAGGATGAACTTTGTTTACAGAAGGACGCCCTAGGTAGGCTTTAGTAAAAATAATCTTATTGAAAAGGCAAATCGGACGACATTGATTCAATTAAACCGCAAACGGGTGGTGGTAAATGGTATCAATCACATAACGATCATTTCTATATTTCTATTAAAAGGGATATGAATACGGCTGTGCATTTGAATCCGATGACGTTTTGATGACTTCAGTAGGTCATTTGAATAACCCCACCTGTTTCATGCAATTGGATTGGAGGTTGTTAGCGAGTGAGGCAAATAAATTGAGCATTGCCTTGAGGTTTTGGTTAATTGTGTGCACGGAGAGTAGGAATAAGGAATTGTTCTTTTGTGGCTGAATCAAGCTGTACATTTATCAGGTAACCTTATATTTAAGAATCGCTACACAATATTTGTTTTCTAATTGTTTGTATGGAATCTCTTTCTCTCTCTCTCTCTCTCTCTCTCTCTCTCTCTCTCTCTCTCTCTCTCTCTTGTTTAGATCCATAGTTATTAATTTTGACGTCTTTTTTTCAACATAACATTAGATTATCAATTTGCTAAATCGCATGGATCGCCGAATCGTTTTGTCAATTATTCTGAATATCGTTAGATCGAAGTTTATATGTAAAATCAAAATTAAAATTTCAACAAGGATTCGAAGTTCCTTTTTTAATAAAACAGCGTTTTTGATAACTGAAACTTAACTTTCATTTCCCAGCGTTTGAATAACAATACCATATTTTGTCTTTATACCATAGGTAAAACCTTCATACGTGAATCTCTATAGCTACATCGAGTCAATGGCCTCTTTATCTGTATCATAATCTATAATCGAGTACTTATATTTTTCTATTTTCTAGGTTGACGCCATTCTTAATCCCTCTTGGTTCCAAGTAATATCGAAGATTAAAGGCTCCTTTGAACCGCACTGATCTAAATTCCTTCTAATTTGTAATGTAGTTAAGAGACGGTCCAAAGTATATGAATGTTTTGACGAAGATTTCAAACGGCGCCTTGGATTCCTGAAAAGACATAAGTTCGAACAAAACCCAACACATTATATTAACGGTTTATAAACAAAACGAATTAAGCTGAGACCTGAGACCTGTTTGCGATTAGTCATAAGAGAGATATAGAGTGATTACCGAATAAGGAATACCGCTCGAGAAAAAAAGTGTGGAAAAGGTGTAGATAACGGTGCCCGGAGTCATTCCTAAAGAACAATCATGAATACAACGAATGGTTCTGTAGTAAAGCCTAATGGAACTTCCAGTGTCGGTACCTATTGTGTCATAACTTACGATAGCAACACCGCCAAGGCCATCAAAATTGTGGCACTCTCAGTACTAATGGTCATTTCTTTTGTCCTTAATTCCCTTGTGATTGCAGTCTTTGCGAAGACTCCCAGCCTACAGCGAACTGTTAACTACTTTTTGGTCAACATGGCTGCGTCTGATCTGCTCATTTCAATTGCTGCGATTCCGAAGGACATACTGGAACTAAGCTCTGGATCAACGTATTGGCGAGTTGGCGGAGACTTTGGCCACTTTCTTTGTATTCTTCAGTCTTTACTCGTTGATATATCGGCAGTTGTTTCTATCTTAAGCATGACATGCATCACTATTGATCGCTTCTGTGCGGTTATGATGCCGTTAAGAGTGAATCTTGTCCCGGGTAAAGTCCGAGGTTTCATCATCGCCTTAATCTGGGTTCTCTCAGTCGTCAATTATTGCTACTATTTTTACACGTTGCGTCTTGACAGCGACAACCAGGGGAATTTCATCTGCTGGATGAGCTTCGCACCTCTTGATAACACCAAGATGTCTACCATTGTAGTGACCTACGTAGCTGTTCTGTTCGGCTGCGTTCCTTGGATTCTTGTTGCCATTCTCTACGCCGCCATGATAGTCGGCCTCAAGCACGCTAGGATACAATTCGAAGCAAACGACCAGAATAACGTTCGGCTAACCAGAAGCACAAGTGTGACGAGGCAAGCGTTTGTGATAGTGCTGGTCTTTGGTATTTGTTTTTTCCCGATGAGCGCTATATTCCTTGTGATTGCACACGTCTTCCATTTTGGCTGCTCCCCGCCTTACTTTGCCCATCTGTACTTTGCGGCCCAATTCTTGATGCTCTCTAACGCCGCGCTAAACCCATGCGTTTGTCTCTTCTTGAGCGAAAACTACAGAAATGGCCTGTGGAAAATCTTAAAGCTCAATAACCTACGACGAGTTTACCCTGGATTTGCCTTGGAGGAAGTACGCGAGGAACCTGTGACGAGAGTAACGTAACGAAACTTCGAAACTGAGCTATTGCTCGTTTGCCAGGCTTGATCGGTAGATGAAGATTGTTTTGTGAACAAACATCACAAAAGTCATCAAAAAAGTATTTATAGCATCATAGCAAATCTATATCTGTATAAGGAACAAAACGTAGAATCCATATCAAAAGCTGACACGTGTATTTGTGAACAAGTCGTTTTTTGCTGCCTTCGTAGAGAAAGAAAATTTAGATGCATTTTCTCGAGAATTTTTAAAAAGTATTCAACTTTCCATCTATCCTCTTTTAACATATATTTAAGAAGGTTTGTGGCGCCAAAAGCGATAGGCAGTAGGCAATAGTATAGCAAATAGGCGAAAAGCGATAGGAGGTAGGTCATTCCAAGATCCAAGAATAGCTGGAATGACTTGTGTTTCTTAGGGGGGTATTACTCTCTTCAAGAACACGGGGATTAGTGTTGAGATATTCAGTGCTGTTTGTAGCCGATAAAACCATTTTACCGATAAAACCATATTAAAGGCCTCGATTATTCGTGTTTAGTTGTATCCCCATAATTATTTTCCATTCTGGAATGACCTAGGTTCCTATCTCTAATGGCTCTTACAACCTCTTTGAATAGATATATACGTGATTCGGCTAAAGTGTCTTTGAACCGTTTCTTTGAAGATAGCAAACAAAATGCCAAAAAGTGCTTCAGTTTTTCAAAATGTGCCGGAACAGAAAATTTCCGTTCGCCGTCAACTTTGACCTGCTATTTATATTACTGTTCCGTAGTTCTTGAGAATCTTGAGAAAACGGAGCATGGCGTTGACCATATTTTTCTTCGTTCGATGTTGAGCTATCATAATAACTGAAAAAAAGTAATTTGCAGTATTGGAGTAAGAAGTCATTAAGACAGAATGGAAGCCTAATGCGCGTGTTATCATTGATGGGCTAAAGATAGCGGTGCGCGTTCGAAGACCTATAAGGTAAGACTGATTTGTATCTATATATTAATCCTATTTATACCACGGAAAAGATACAGTAGAATTTAGTGCAAGCTAGAAGGGTTATTGGGGTGGGATCGGAATTGTGGTATTGATATGGGATTAAGTGAATGAAAGTGGATGGAATGTGAATGGGATGAAATTATAATTGAAACAAGCGGAAGAGGGAACCTTCCAATTCAAATAAAACGACTGATATCAAGAATGAATGGACAAGAGAAAAATAGCAACGGAAGAGAGGAGAAATACCAAAAAACAACGATAGGTTAAATGAAAAACGACTGAATGAAATGGAACTAATCAGGCACTTGGCAAGAGAACAAAAAGGCGGTACAAAAGGATTAAAGAATGCGAAGAAGAACGAAAAAAAAAGTAAGAAAGTAAAAGATGCAAAAACATAGGAAAGCAAAAATGAAATTCAGAAAAAAAGCCAAACTTGTATTTCTAAATTTCTTAGAAGACACTTAACCCAGTATAAGAAAATTAGTTTTCATTTTGGGGTATATAGTTGATCAGATGTATATAATTAATGTACGAATACATATATCACAGCCGAAATAATAATGATATTCCTGTAACACTATCGTAAGTGAATTAGATTTTGAACCGCGTTTTAACAAGTGTGAGCGAGCTTCGAAAGCAAGACAAGGATTCATTTAACTTTCTCCAAAATCTCCCATATAGCAATCCATTTATATTCCTGTAACACTCTCATAACTTGTTATATTTTGGACCACTTATGTAAGTGTTCTAACAAGTCTCAGCGAGCTTTGAGAGCAAGACAAGGGTTTTAACTTGCCCCATAGCCTCCCATTCAGCGATCCATTTACAGCATTAATGAGTATAGCTTACAGGAAATTAGTTAGTCATAACAGCTTGATAAAGATCTTAGAAGACAGAAAAAGTGGCCCTGATATACTATATACATACTATTTTCAGTGTTGAATAAAAGGTAAACAGATTTCGTTTGGATCAACCGACCGCTTCACTTGTAACAGTACGGCTTTTATTTATAGTTTTAAAATTTACTTCGATACAGTGTGTGCAACCATGTGACTTAAAATCCCTTGAGTTCATTCATGATAAATAACAATGAAAAAAAACGCCATATTGGTTGATTAACAAGAAAAGTTAATGAGGAATGCTTTGTTATCGTTAACCAAGATGGCGGCTATGCCGGACGTAACTTAAAACTTGTATAATTAATGGCAAATTGCAGTTGTAATGACATCAGTTGTGGACATGTTATAAATATATAAGTAACATGCACTTGTGAGGTTTCTGAACGAGGAGGTTTGAACATTTGGTTTTTTGGAGGCTTATATTTGCTTTATTTAGGTATTCGTTATAAACATGTTTCCACTTAACATTGCGGACATGTTAGTTACACATGAATATGGATGCAACTCAAACAAAGAATTTTATTCTCAATAGAGAATGACACGTGTTCTGAAATGGGTAAAACATTACCCCCAAGTGGATTTGGTCCATTCTTTTGGAAAGCAAGACAATAAAACTGATATTGAAGTCCAAAAACCAAGATATCGAGAAGTGAGATGATGATGACTGCATCAAGTCGCATTTATACTATTCGTTTTTGCTCTAAAATTGTCTTGAAACACTTCTTCATATAAATAGGACTTTTAAAAAACATATGAAAACAAAGGATTATTCACTAGATTTAGTACCATAATGGTTTTCAGTTTTTCACGGGTTATATGCAGTATGCAAACAATGTGAAGTTTAATATTCATTCATCTTCCTCGTGACAACGTACACTAATGCGCATAACATAAGCAGTGTCCTCTTATCTATCCTAGTATAAGGTCTTGCGAGGCCTTGTTCAAGAAACCGGCCCCTAGCTGCAGACTCTTTTAGTCTTGTAGCTAATAATTAGAAAAGAAGACGACAGCAAATCTTCGGTCGAAGTGCTTTTACTTTAAAAAAATTTTCATTTGTTTTTAACATTTCAAAAGAAAAAAAGGAAAAAAAGAGAAGGCGACTAGAATGATAAACCATTAAAGATGATTTAGTCCACCTCCTGAATCACAAACTTGATTGGAGCAAGCAAATTGAAGGAGTCTTTCACGGACTAGGGTGACTTTCTTCCACCACGAGATAATTATAATAATTATACAGTTTCTAATTAATCCCATATAGGTAACTGTCCAATTATTTTCTTAATTGGACAGGTCTTGTTGATATGGGATTAATTAGGCAGCTATATAATTAATAGGTAATGGGACTTCATGCTCCCCAATCAAGAAATAATTAGGCTCGAAAAATTCCTCTGACTGCCAAATTGGACTCGGCCTACGGCCTCATCCATATTTGGAAGTCCTCGGAATTTTCCTCCTCGGAAAAAGGATGTTATGCTTAGAGACCGTGAAGGAAGGGTTATCTCAGTTCTAGGAACCAGTCTTCGGTTTTCTTTCATCAGACACCAAAACCAAATGAATTACCCCTACTTGCATGAAAGTTAACTCTTAAACAAAACGTTTGCTCTATTAATAATTCAAAATTTATTTAAGGAACATAAAACGTGCGCGCATGTCGCTGTGCTGCGACATAAACACGCCGTGGGCTGTAGAGCATGAGAGTGTTTCTCTTTCTTCTCAAGTCCTCTACAGCTCCTAGAGTGTTTATATCACAGTACAGAGACATTAGCAGCCGTTCATATTTCTTTTAAAAAGTATTTTTAAAAGGCTTTGCGCGAGCGTCTCTCAGTTCTCTCGTATAAACACGGTACCAGCCAATCAGCGCGCGCATTTAATTTTCAAATATTTTCTAATCCCTTATATAGATGTGAGTACACCCCACGCGAGAGAATATTTGTTTGTTATACACCTATTTCAATAAACGTTATCATCGCTAAAGGCGATAAGTCATTCCGACATGGAAACGGTTTCGTTGAATACAAAGAACATAGAATCAGTCTCAACACTAAGGTCCATGTTCTTGACGAGAATAAGAAGCAGAAACACAAGTCATTCCAGCTATTCTTGGATCTTGGAATGACATATCTCCTGTCGCTCTTAGCCTACCCCCTCCAACGTTTATTGAGATATGTGTATACAAGCTGAATTTAACGACTGTTACGTGTATAAAGTTTCAATGAATAGCTGATTCAGTTCATAGCTTGATGGAACTAGTGTTTGGTTCTCTAGGAAAACGCCCAGTGTCAGACGGTGAAATTTTCTTGTGGAAAACGAATCGCGAGAAAAGGTTCACGACAAATTTCATCGTGTAACATACTGGCCTCAGCTTCGAATTAAAACGTTCTTGACAAGAAAGCTCCACAAAAAGTAAAACTACCTTGTGCAAGAGAAAGATTAGCTTAGTTTGGAAATCTGAGCGGATATGTTTTACGACAAGTTATATTTCGTAACACTCCTCGTGACACTTGGATTCCCAAGGATGATTTTCAGATGGAGCATTCCCTCCCTATTGTGCACGAGTCCCCCCGGGTCCAAAGGGTTTTTTCCCCAGGGTGGATGAGCAACTTAGAATAACCCGCAAATATTAAGCAGTTGGAACTCTGTGTAAAGCCATACAACAATAGAAGTCGTTGCTATTAACAAATTCAGTTATACATATATACTGTAATAATAGCCCACTTCCGAGATATGCTTCGATTGTCACGCACAAAGGTTTCAGTATGAGGCTACGTGCTAAATTGAATTAATTCTTACCGCCTGTCACGAATGACTGAGCATTTAGCACGTAGCCTCGTACCGAAAAGTGGGCTATTAACACTACCATAGTTCTAAATTGTTTAAACAGTTCTTTCAGTCATGTTCAAATATTACAATAACCACCGCAGCCTCTCACAGTCTGAGCACCAGCAGATAAGCTAAGTCCACCACTGCTTTTGCTGTCATTCTCCCATAATCCTGGGGTTTGAATGATCTGCAAGATAAAAAACAATAAAGTGATATATTTACCATGTTCATGCAGAATTGAAGAAATAGAAAACGCGCGCGCGTGCTGTGTGCTGTCATAAAGCACGCGGGGGTTGGCAGAACACGAGAGAAGTGTTAGAAGAAGCACGACGCGTAGCGGAGTGCTTCTGGACACTTCTCGAGTGTTCTGCCAATCCCCAAGTGCTTTATGACTGCACACAGCACAGCAAGCAAGTTTTTTATTTCTTTTATAAAATACAAATTACAATAATAGATAGGAATGACGCAACGAAAAGTGTGCGCGCGTGCAATGTGCTCTCATAAAGCATGCGCTCCAAACCAATCAGAACGCGACATTCATAACAGCTGTGTTGTAAGACTGAAGACTCATCTTCGCAGGCTTAGCCTCGCTCAAGAGTAAATCATTTGCAAATGTCAACTTTAATGTAAAGAATGTGCAGCTTGAACAATACCAATGTTTTGAAAACCCACAGACTTCTAATGGTATCTGTGAATAGCTGACTTATAAACGAGTCTAGGCCTGTGCAAATGAGTATGTAGTCTTCAAAAACAGCGGTATGCATCGAATGTAAAACTGGTGTATTCCTTAACAGCAATAGCCCTTTCTAGCTTGAGTGTAAATTTTCCCATTTCAGGTCAGGTGTCATTCCCTTGAGAATAAGATTCTTGAGTTGAGTTGTTTGAGTTGTATCAATATTCGTGTGTCTTCTCATGTACAACCGTTAAACAAAGAATTAATACTCTATGGCATGACACATGGTCTGAAATGAATTCCAGAATTATGGCGCATTTTAAGAGTAAATAATGTACTAATATTTTCTCCTTCACCTGTCATTAGTCACAACTACTGCACATTAGTGCAATTGATGACCCTTACATGCTAGAGTAACATTATAAGAGTAGTTGTGAGTTGCCCATAGAAGTCAAAATGTATAAGGTGTGGCAGCAAAAATTTTTTTCAGCATGCAGTTCACAGCTACAAGTTGGAGCAATACTGAAACTGTTATGGTGTCGAAGAACTTTGTTTATTCTTCATTTTGGATGGATATCACTGGCAAGTGAAGCAAGCCTCAGCAGTCACTCAGTAAGTATCTCACGTTAGTACTGGATGTTTGAAGATCTTAGTAAAAAGCTGCCTTGCTCTGTAGTTTCTAAAGGCCAACAACATCCAACATTGTTGGGCCCAATCGTTGGGAGCATTTGAACACATGTTGTGTGGGACTTGTTGGACAATGTTGGATGTTGTTGAACAGGAAAAGCCATCATTTTCGTTATGGAATCAGAGAGCCAAGAAGCTTTGCTGATGTTGTTCATCTGTTGTTTATCTTCATCTAAAACCATAACTGCTATGCATTTTCAATTTTTAACTCGTTGTATGAAGAAAATTCTACATGAAGAAAATAGTTGAATGGTAAAATATTTCTTGATTGGAGTGATGCATTTCTAAGTTATGATGGTTTATACCTCCAATATGCTAATGAGTGTGACGTCTATTAAGGCTTAAAATTAAATATACAAAATTGAACTGGTTCATAGGTACAGTATTTAAAAAGCATCATTATTTTACTCATGGTTTACATGAAGCTATTTAAAATTTTTATTTTCAAAATGGCCAGCATTTAGTRTTACTAGTTACAACAAAAACACTCAAATACCTTACCTGACGTCATCATCATTAACATATTGGAAGTACAGTATAAACCTTCATAACTTAGAGACGCATCACTCAAATCAAGAAATATTTTACCTAATCAACTACATGTATTTACTTTATGCAGAACCAGTACTGAATGTATTATCAAAGACTTCACTTGCACTTTAAGGGATGGGGGAATCACAAGAACGAACCATCAGCAAGCAAATATCAGTTAAATATGAACACCTACTCACCTTTTCAACAAGTTCCTCAAAAGCAAGTTGCACTCCCTCTTTTGTTCTTGCACTAAAGACAGATATAAATATTTTTGGCATTAAAATCCCATTGTCTCAGTTAAAATTTTCTCTTCTTATACAAAAGAAATCTAACCTTGCTTCAATGAAAAGCATGGAGTATTTTCTTGCAAATTGTAAACCTTGGATTCGTTCAACTTCACGATTATCCTGAAACAGCAGCATACTAGTTGCTTAATCACTATAACAATAACTTAATATTATTTTTTTCATAATAACTTTTCCACTTTGTTGTTTGGCAATTCGCTATCCAAGCAGGGTTTGCAATAGCTGCTGAACAGCTGCCGGTTATAATTACAGGCCAAATTAGTTTTAGCTTACACTGTAGTTATACCTTATTTCTGACTAAACATTACCGGTCAAAATGACTGGCAAGGCAAAGATTTGGCCAGATACTGTAAGTCCCAGTTCTGGCCAGACATAGTCTGATGTCTGGCTGTTACTTTAAGCTCTGCCAAGGATCCCAGATGGGAGTCATGATCAGAGATTATAGAAAATATTGAACAATTAAAAATGGTAAGAATGTCTTGTCATCATGAAGGTGAGCTTTTTCATATTTAACCTCTGTTTATTACATGTACTTTACTACATACCTTATCAATTTTATTTCCAACAAGCATCTTTATTATATCCTTTTTGCTTGAGTACGTTTCTACTTCATTCAGCCATTCTTCAAGTTTGTCAAATGTATCTCTATTACATGTGTCATACACTAAAACGTCAACAGAAAATTGCTAAATAAAACAATTACAAAGCTTGATACTACTGTAATTTTTTTAAATACTAGGCAATGAGCTGGGAAGTCTAATCAATCCAGTAGCCCAGCAAAGCTAAACTACTAACCAATTTAGATAATTAATAATCCAAAACCTCTACTAGCGTATGGAATAGTCAATCCAAATTTTAACTACCTCAGAGCAAATATTTAATAGTCCCATGGAGTAGTGGACTAGCATTAGTGATGAGCACTGGTATAATGTTTTGTTTGTTATATACACACACACACACAAACAGAACTCAAAGAAACTTGAAACAACCACTCCAAAATGGAGAGAAAAAAGAATTAAGATAAATAAATGAAAAGAAAGAACTTAATTAAGAAAAAATTAATGAATAAATGAATGAACCAACTAACAAATGAACAAACAAACGAACAAACAAATAAACACATAAAGAAAGAAAGTACGATATTTGACAATGTTAGATCTACATAATAATAGTTCACCTTTATCTTTTCTATCTTGGGGGAGTGGGGAGTTACCTCCTTGTATTTATGTAAACTTTTCCATTTTAAACTATCATTTATAACTTAGTATTTTGTAAAATGTTCACTTAGACTGTCAGGCTAGCTCATTACCTTCTTCTATCAATTCAAATGAACCCCCTGAAAAACAGCGAGAAACCTGCACTGGGCCTAGGTAATTAACTAAGTAATCTTACCTAAGATAACACCTTGTGCTCCTCTATAATAGCTTGGTGTTAGTGTTCTGAATCTTTCTTGGCCTGCTGTGTCCTGTAACATGTAAGTATTATAAGTGATGATCGTAATAAGGGAATGTGAAAAATCACGAGAATAGACCTCTTTAGCATGGGCCTAATATTTCTCCATTTCAGACCACATTCTCAAACTCATTGTCTTCTTCTCTCAACCCTTCTGTCCTTCTCCCAACCCCTCCCCCCCCCNCACCACTCCCTCCACCAAAAAAAAAAATCTTACCCATATGGCCAATTTTGCTCTGTTTCCTTCCACACTAATTGTCTTGACTTTAAAATCAACACCTACAAGTGTATAAGTATACAAGTTAAAAGTTGCTTCCAATAAAAATAATGGACAATAAATAATAAACTATAATAACTTTTGCATAAATTTCATCAAACTAAAATTATGATTTAAATTTCTCTGTGTGCATAGAGTGACACTCGTTTATTATTTAATCTCTTGTGTATGGTTATCATTGATGACCCTCAAAACTCCAGTGTATGCGAGCTTTACCTCACTTCTGATGTAGGTAAACAAAAGCAGAGATTAAATCAGAATAATAAAACAAGCAACTCCTGGATTTAAGGCTTATACATCTAAGCCCTCATGCTCTGGAGTTTTGAGTGTCGTCAATAATCACTCAAAGTTCATCCCAATCTACCATTTTACTGACTCAATAAATAGAGCAACATTCATGTTTCTGTCGTGCAGGTAACATGAAATACAGTAGCATGTTTTGCTATGTTTCAGGTTCTGTCTAATAAATCTGCAACACTTTAAATGCATCAAATTTTGATTGACAGGAGTCAAAAACCAATAAATTGTGAAACAGTTTCTCCAATTCACCACTTCGGCACTAAGTGTCACATGGTATAAATGGTGTTGGTTTGTGTTACCATCACCAAAAAGTTGGGACATTGTTCTTGGATTTCCGTACAAATGTACCAGATATTGAACAAATTATTTTCTTTGTAAATAGCAGTAAGAAAAACTTCAATCAAGTTATCAAAATGATATTTTGCTTGTATTTAGGGAGCTAACTAAACAAATTAAGTAAATTATTTATTTAAAAGTCAGTATTTTCTTATGTGAATGTCCACAACACAATCGAATCTAAGGTAATTTATACCATGTAATGGCTAGTGCTGAAGTGTTGAATTTGTCTTGATTACATACATTAAGTAATGAACGGTAAACAGAGAAGAAAAAAGCTATCTTGTATTCATGATAAGTCATAATATCTGATATGCAGAAAGATTATAACTTTTAGTAAAATATAATAAAATGTTATTACCTATCGTTGCCCCAATATCTGGATCAAATGTATCATCAGTAAAACGCAGTAGAAGACTAAATATAAACAGTTAAACGTTAGATCAAAAACTGGGAAAATTTAGCAGATATTTCAATGACGATATAGGTTTAAATTTGCACATTGGAGTATTCGAAATCATAGTTTATTTGATCTTGAAAATAATTTGACAGTATTAAGATAAAATCAAACAGGTTTTAACCAAAAGCACTTATTATAAATCGCATCTGAGTACATAATTTGTAGATTCTGAAATATCAAGGGCTCTACGAAGCTAAAATTCTGAGAATTAATTGTGCAAATCAAGCAAAACGTTTGAATCACCTTGACTTTCCAACGCCACTTTCACCGACGATTAATATTTTCAGGGTTGTCAAGACGTCGTTATCCATCGCCCTTATTCCTTTGGAGTCTTTTGTTAGTAAGGGAAGACGAGATATCTGCTGATTTAGCAACAACTGGGGTTGATTTTCCTCATTTCGTTACTCAACTTTGCATACTCAATCGAATTCATTAGTTTACACGTCTACTTTATGGCGTGTTGCCGCTGACTTAAGTACTTTGAAATACCCATAATGCAGTTGGGCGCTTCCAATGACTGTAAGTGAGTGATGAATGAGGAAAAAATAAATTTATAATACTTCACTTCCAATGACTGAGCGATCGAAGAATGCGGAAAGGAGAAACTCATAATACGACCCCGTCGCCATGACTATGGCGCGTTTTCGGGGTAAAAATTGAAAATGTGTAACTTATGCCATTTTTAGGCCTGATATCACGCACTGTTATTCCACCTTGAAACCCTACTTCCGTCTCGAAGATTTATTGAACCAATTCCGCTTTCGACTTCCGAACACTCGATGAGTTACGAACACTCGATGATTGCGAACACTCATGAAACGAAATCTACGAATAACTGAAACAATCACACATATATATTTATAACCCAATCCGTCTGTCCTGTCGCCCTTGCATGGTAAGTTCAAGTACCGGTTACATCATGAAATGAAATGACGCCCGAAACTGGAGCCGAGGAGGAAAAAAGAAAAGAAAGAAAAGGATAAAGGAATACGACAATGTAATCATGTTAATCGAAGTATTATGATCATCAGGGTGGATGTAGTCCTGATGAGAAGGACTCCCGGGGGGGGGGGGGGGGAACCCCCCCCTTTTTGCTTTACGGGTATGTGCCGCCCTATAGGGTATGGTTTTTCGGCTATTGGGGTCTGTGGTAGGGTATCTTTTTTTGAAATTTTCTCTGGGATAGGGTAACATTTTAGTCTGGGATAGGGTTAACGATTTGGTCGTTTTTGTCTGGCGAATAGGCTACGCTTTATAGTAAATATTGATTGCAATCGATTGTAAAACTGCATTTTCCGCCTTTTAGTCTGGGATAGGGTGTATAATTCTTAGTTTTAGTCTGGAGTAGGGTATGTAAAATCAAAATTTTAGGTCTGAGATAGGGTCAGGGTTTTGAGGTCCTGGCGACACATCCCTACCCAAGTTGGACAAGTTTTCTCCATGTAAACGGTCCCGAAGTAATAGTACCAACATGATATATGAAGATGAATAATGACCGGCGCAAGAAACTGATAAATAAAAAGTCAACAGAAATGATATCTGAGTTCCAGATACAAATTGAACCCACGAGCCAAGTTACTTGATCTTTACAGTACTAAATTCTTGTCATTTTATTCATTTCATTAATATTATTTATATATATATATGTAACCAGTTGTCGCACCAGTTGGGCACCATCTTAAGCGATATTATGGACTACCTGTGGTACAATTCTTTTCTTCCACTGCTTTTTTCTAAGCGATAGCATAAGGACGGATTATGGATTGTAACAGGTATAGAAGGAATTGACAAGAATATATCACGTCTATAGCCAATTCAATACGAGTTATAACCTTTACTCTCTCTTACTCTCTCTCTCTTGAAGAAAAGCGTAAAAAGAAACCTTGCGCCATACAATCCAAAACATTTCATTACTGATCCTGTGGGGAAAATTATGAAATGTTTGGTGCGCAACGTGCAGATGGGACCTTTCCTACACGCAGGTGTGTGAGCAGCAATAAAAACTGTCAGATAATGCGCGCGGGCACTTTAATTAACCTTTAACTTTGACGATATAAAGATCAAGTTCGTTATGTGAGGATTGCGACTCGGTACCACCCTTTCAAACTAACGCATGCAAGATAGTAAAAGAAACACAAAAAATTGCTTACAAAATTTTGAAAAATGTGGTCTCGTATTTTGCACGGATCTTTCACGAGTCCCACTCGCGCAGTTACAAGTCCCCCCTTGTTTTTATTACTAGCTACGTCTGCACCAACCCCTCACATTCATCCCACATCATGAGAGGCGCAATTGCATGGCCGTAAACGTCCAGTTCAAATCAGTTTCGTAGCAGCACGTTGCGTATAGAGGCTTTGCACCATCACGTGATGGCAGCCATGACAGGAGGCAGGAGCAATCGAATCTCGTCTCATCTGATTTACATGAGAAAGCATTCAGTCTTCCAGTGAGAAAAGATTCTATTGTTGTGACTCCTGCCATGGCTGCTATCAAGTGATGGTGCAAAGCCTCTATACTGCTAGGCTATGAAATTATCATAGCATCTTCGAGATACTGTAACGCTAATGAAAGAGTGGACATCGTGAGATAAAACAATTTTCAAAATTATAAGTTCTTATTTTTTAACCCATTACAAACCATACTGACAATTTTCTATGGTACAATATAAAATCATAAATCTATCTCTATAATCTATTTATCGTTTAACGTACATAACGCGCGCGCGTAGGTGCGTGTGCCGATATAAAGCTTGCGGGGGTTGGCAGAACACGCGAGAAGTGCGTTACGAGAAGCACGAGGCGTAGCCAATACGTGCCTCTCTCAGTTATTACCGCAAACCCCACAAGCAAGTTTCTTTTTTTTTTTGCGCTTGTGCTATGTGCTCTTATAAAGAACGCGCTCCAAACCAATCAAACGCACGATTTATAGCAGTTTTTATAATTAATTCTATATATTTCCTTTTATATAAATTGTTCATATGCTTACTAAATATTAATTTACGGTTTTTCGAAATCTGATTTCAATTGCTCCTATCCATTCATACGGTGGCTTGTTAAGTGACATCGGTTTGGGTAGTTGAAACAGCTGGCACCTACAAGCCACGCATGACAACATGATAATCGAGTACATATTAAGCTTTTTTAAATGCGTTTCTATAATCGCTGGAAAATCAACTTGACAAAACCATCAATTTTTTGACGATATAGGTACGATATATTAACGATATACTAACACTTAATGGGACCGCGTCACTAATCAAGCTCGGTGTTTATACTCCACTGAACAGCATTAACAACACTGTAAAGGCAATTTGGTTTAGAACAGTGGAAAGATAAGCATTTTATCTTTTGTTGATAGTGATCCAAACTTCTTCATTTGGTGAAGTGACGAGACGATGGACAGGTTGTACTTTCTGTCCCGCGACAAGCTCCACCTTAAAACGCCTGATGAACACAGACAAGAACACCAGACCCTCTGTGATGGAGAACCTCCATCCGGGACATTTTCTCTTGCCCGCAAACCCAAATGGCTGGAAGGCCAGAGAAGGAAGATCCTTCGCGTTCTCTGGGCTAAAACGATCGGGATCAAACCTGGAAAAGGATAGATTAAAATTAATAAAGAATGGCCAAAAAATGAACAAACGAACGAACAAAAGCAAAACAAAGCAAAAAATAACAAACAAAAACAAAAGACAAAAACAAAAAAAGCAAAACAAAAAAACAAAACAAAAAAAAACCGAAAGGTTATCTAATGCGAAAAATTTTACTTTCGAAATTTTAGTATATCGATGGGTAAGAAAGGGAAAATAAAATAAAGGTTAAAGTCTTGGTTAGAAAAAAGCTTTTTTTCTCCTCCGATCTGCAACAAGAACAGGGCAGGAAAAAACCTATGCTAGCAGGGTAGGGAAAAGTGTAGTGAGGTGAACGGACGATTAACGCATCACAGGGTGCGAGCAATGAAAATAGAGAATCAGAAGTGCAACCACAGGAAGACCAATTTAGATAAAAGTGATAGTTGAAATTAAAATCAGAAAAAATTTGTAATGAAAATAATTAGTTATTCAACTTTTCTCCCTGTGGTCCTATGTACCTTTGCGGTTCAGGGAAAATTTCAGGATCGTGAAGAACAACACCAAATGGTATCATTATTGGAGTCTGAAAAGAAGAAAATACACACGTGAAAACAAATTTACATGCGTTGTAGTTGTTGCTACTGTAGCTATGATTGTTTGTGTTCTATTGAAATTTAGTAGTTGATTTTTGAGGAGGGAGGAAAACCGGAGAACCAGGAGAAAAACCCTTAAAGCACAGGAGAGAACCAACAAACAACTCTACCCGCATACGAAACCGAGCACGGCAGGGCTCGAACTCGGGTCGCATTGGTGACGGTTAGTCTATAGGAGACTAGTATAGATCTGATAAATGACTTCATTTTACCTCTTTTGGCACAACATGATCTCCTATCTGCAGGTCATGGTCCATCTGCACCCTTGCACCCCAAGGAGCAAGTATTGAACAGCGGAGGGTCTCATCGATAACTTGGCGGCAATATCTAAAAATATTATTAGAGAAATATAGTTTAGAACTCAATGGAGTACATTTGGTATGACTGTAGAATTGTCAACATTCTTTGAAAACAAATCATTCAGATCATAGTGCAAGAGATCAAATGCTTGGACATACCGATGACAATGAAACGTATGTACCAAAAAATTGGGTGAAAAGCCTCTTGGACCCTGGGTACAGTACATTAATACGACTGCAGTTTCAGAAAACACCCACCCTTTCACTATTCGACAAAAAAGATGCTTCCTGTATAGCTTAAGGTTATACTGGAGACCTTCAGGGGAATGTTTCTTTTAAACTTTCTCTACGCAACACGTTAAACAAAACCCCATAAAACTATATATCGTTTTAAAGGTCATATGATAAAGATTTCGAATACAATATTATTTTCGTCTTTTATGCGGTAAAACGTCAACCGACATTGAAACTTCTCGACGTTCCAACTTTAAAATTCAATAACTTTTTAAAGAAGCAAAATATCAAAAATCGCTCACACTCTTTTGTAGATTATCTTTTGCTTATTCACATAGTGAAGTTCTTTTTGGCTTTACGCACTAGCGCCATGTCCAATAATTCACCTCCACTGAACGTTCCCGAGTTGTGTTTAAGGCTCTGGCATTGTTTTAAATTAAAAAACCGCTTTCAAATAATATTATTTTCGAAATCTTTATCATATGACCTTTAAAACGATATATAGTTTTACAGGGTTTTGTTGAACGTGTTGCGTAGAGAGAGTCTTAAACGAAACATACCCCTGAAGGTCTCCAGTAACCTTAAGTATAAAACAACACAAAACAACAGTGAGATGTTTGTACCCAAACTAGACCATAATGCACCATGTTCACTGTCTCCAAAAAGACATGTGAGCAACCAAACTTGAAACAAAAAAGAAACAAAAGTGCTAAATACAGAAACATTACTTACTTGAGTTGGCTGGCCGCAGCTGGGACAATATCTTCTTCACCCAACACCTCAATCAGCTCTTGGTAAACTTTCTCTTGGACTTCAGGGTGAAGAGCCAAGTAGTAGAAACACCAAATCATCACTACAAAAATATCAGAATTAAATGAAAAAATATGTAAAGAAAAGAAAAAAGAAATCTAAAAAAATTGAAAAATCATGTAACAACAGAATTGCGATTAGCACTCTAAGCAATGTATGTCTAGGTATTAAGTGTTGCCTCTCACTATTGTGGTCACAGGTCGTAACCCTGGTCCATACCATTGTAGGAAGAGTTGACTGTTGACTCTCTCCTGTACTTAAAGGGTTTTACTCTGAGTTCTCCGGTAAAAGATTTCAAGCTAAAATTTATTCCCTAAAAGCAATTCCAGATGCATTTTAGGGAGAATAGGCCATTTTTGCACAAAACAGCCTAAGACTTGATAATGAATCAATTAAGCCAAGGTTCCTTGGAAAAGGCTCTGCTGGATGGCAAACAAAATCTTAATTGCTTCACTTTTAATCTTGAAATCGAGAGTATCTTATATTATAATAAAATTATAATTTTTAAAAATGGGGTGGAGTAATAGAGCATAATCAAGGATTTTTCTAAACCACAGCATTTTTCAAGCACAATTGAACCGTTACTATAAAGGAACTTACTATTTCCAGTAGTATGGAATCCACCAATCATAAATGTCAAAATATCATCTTCCAACTAAACAAATAAAGTCAGAATAACATTTAATGTAAATTACTTATGATTTATTTCCTTGCTCTCTTTTTAGTTTCAGAGTAATCAATTTCCCATTTTCTAATGCTGCATATATTTCTAAAAAATACCATATTTCCTCTACTAAACCCATGGCCTTAAGCCCTCAGTCTCTGAGTTGGCTGCAATTCCCCAAAAGGGATTATTTATCAATTATTTTTGGTTAGCATTTTCATATCAGGGGCTGAGCACAATGTAAATTTCTTCTTTGAATGAACTAGAATTCCACCATAAGTTCAACCAGTAAAATTTACAATTTATAATAAAGAATAAAAAATTCATATTTCATGGGTTTTCTAGGTAGAAAAATCATGGCAATTGCTAATCGAAATATGATGTTGAATCCTCAATTCTAATTGGTTGACCTTGAGATTGTTCTTAAGGTCAACTCAGCTGGCTGAGTTCCAAAAATTACATATTATGCTCCCAGCCTCTAATAAGTCCCATGCGCCCACCCTTAAAGCTTAATGCTGTGGTTCTTTCCCTGTGCAGGCTTTGAAAAATCATTCACAATTGTGAAGAAAGATGATTATGAATTTCTGAAGATCAGGAAAATTGATTAAAAGCTCCCACCCTCTAATAAGCTCTAAAAAAATCACTGAAACCCTTTTTTTCCCCTGTTCCACTTAATAGTATGTGCTTAATTTTAACAAACTGGGTGAGCATGTCCCACTGATATTATAACATAGCCACAATATAATGCAGGCTCTAATTGGTTAATTAGCATGGATGAGCATACACCTGAAACTCTATGGTGCACGCTGACGAAATTAAGAAGCATATGCTCTATTTAATAAAGATATTGTTAGAAAAAAATTGAACTTTTTTTCGATAAACAAAGTTTTTTTTACAGTTTTTGCTAATGTTATAAAAGGATTGGTTTTTGATTAGTATGCTTCCATCGAGTTTTGGTAGCACCAAATGCCTCATCAATGCCTTTTGCAACTTATGCCTCTTGCCTCCTTCGTGCTTATCAACCTCCCTTGTGCACCCAAAACTCAGTGGAAGCATGCTAATCAATGAAAAATTTTTTAATTCAGATAAGCCACACACAAGTATGCCATTAAACAACAGAACAAAGAAAAGAAAAATGGAGAGGTTTCTTAAACAGCACAAAGAATTTTACATGGCTACCCTTGATACAATATTTTACAGAAGGTCTAAGTTAGTTTTTACCTCTTCTTGATCAATCTGGTCATATTCAATCATGGAATCAATGAACAATTTGTCTGTTTTCTGGTCCATATTTTTTCTTGCTTTAATAACATCTTTTATTGTAGAACGCATGATTTTCCTCCCTTAGGAAAAAAAGATTAATATTTAAGGAATGGATCATAAGTAGCGTGCATCCATCGAGTTATGGATGCACGCGGGAGGTTGCTAAGCACGAAGAAAAGCGTAAGAGTTGCACGACGCGAAGCGGAGTGCAACTCTAGCTTTTTTGAGTGCTTAAGCAACCTCCCAAGTGCATCCATAACTCGATGGACGCACAGCTACTTATGATCCATTGCTTTTATAATATAGTCAAGT